GGTTGAGGTCCTCAAGCCGCTTGTGGGGGCTCTGATCTCCCTTCTAAGCGTCCCCAGTGCCATTGAGGGGGACATGGAGGGTCTCTGATCAGCCTTATTCGGCTCCCTAATCCTTCTATGGGGCGTGCGATTCTCTTAGAGGGTATGGAGCCTTATAGCCTTCTTGTGGGGTTCCCCAGGCCCTTTGTGGGGGGGTACAAGGCTGGCTCATGTTCTCCTTGTAAGCGTCCGCAGTCTCTTTATGGGGGCTCCGATCCCATCTGTGGGGTGCCATCCTCCCAGGGACCATCCTGGCCTCGCTGCTGGGAGCATGAGGAGCCCTGCCTCTCTTTAGGGGAGCATTGGAGAGGGCCCATATTCTCCTTTTGGGGTTCTCACCTCTCTATTGTAGGTACCACAGTCCCCTTGCGAGCAAATTGGTGGGACCTGGAGGGTTCCCATTTGTGGGGTGATCCTACTGGAATCCCCAGTCCCCCATGGGTGTAGTCCTCATCCACTGTGGAGAAAGTGTGTTGTCCCTGATCCATCTCTTGGGACATTCAGTCCTCTGTAGAGTGACTGGTCAGCCCAGGATGAGAGGGAGCACAGGGTGGCCCCCAAACCCCTGGAGGGGTGATTCCCTCATATACACCTTGAAAGGTAAATGAGGTTCAGAATTAGGTGACTCCCGTCCTCCCTGGGGGGTAGTTGAGGGTAGCTGTGATTTCCTTTGGGGACAGAGTGGGTACAGTGATATGCCCAAGGGATGCACGTCTGGAGCACTGTGAGGTCTCTTTTCACAGAATCACAGAATGGTTTGGGTTGGAAGGGACCTTTCAAGGCCATCTAGTCCAACCCCCCTGCAGTGAGCAGGGACATCTTCAACCAGATCAGGTTGCTCAGAGCCCCATCCAACCTGACCTTGAATGTTTCCAGGGATGGGGCTCCTACCACCTCTCCGGGCAAACTGGGCAAGTGTTTCACCAACCTCATCGTTAAAAAATTTTTCCTTATATCTAGTCTGAATCTTCCCTCTTTTAGTTTAAGACCATCACTCCTTTTCCTATCACTACAGGCCCTGCTACAAAGTCTGTCTCCATCTTTCTTGTAGGCCCCTTTTAAATATTGGAAGACTACAATAAGGTCTCCCTGGAGCCTTCTCTTCTCCAGGCTGAACAACCTCCGCTCTCTCAGCCTGTCCACACAGGAGAGGTGTTCTATCCCTCTGATCATTTTTGTGGCCTCCTCTGGACCTGCTCCAACAGGTCCATGTCTTTCCTGTGCTGAAGGCTCCTTGTGATTATCTTGGTTTCTTCCCTTCTTCTCCTATTACAGAGAGATGCTTTTTCTCTGAAGCTTCCCGCTCTTTTTTTCACTTGTCTGTTCACTTGGACCCAGATGCCTATGGGATGTGAGTGTCCTCTTCATCTTGAATTCCACCAGAGTTGTGCTCCAAAAGTACCTCCACTTGGGCTAACTGTGCTTTTAGTTTTCTGTTCTGTTTTCCACCTCTATAATGTGTCTTAGAGAAGAGAAGTAAAGCATCCTGTGGATGTTTAATGCTATTGTTCTTCAGCTGTTTCTGCCCCTCTCTCTCTTTAGCCCAAGAAGCTCAAATCCTATTGTCTTCCAGTGACTACAAGCGAAAAAAACTTCACTGCTTTACAACCAGATCTTTTTTAAGGGGGGGAAGAGGTCTCATGGAGTGACATTTGCTGTAGATTTAATCATATTGTGATGAAAGAGCATGATGATATCCAAAAAAAGGATGCAGTCAAATGTCCTATGTCTGGGTGCTGTTTGGGGAGCTCTTTTAACTTCAGCCCTGTGCCAGAAGTGCTTAGACTGTCACAGTCCATAGCTTGAGTGCTCCTGGTACAACAGGAGACTCTTGACCTTGGGAAGAGTTTTGTTTCTAGCTTCCCTGGTCAGGAGGAGCAACCACCCATGCTAGGCTGTGGCTGAGTTAAGGCATTTTCTGTGGAGCTTCCAAGGAATGTCACTTACAAATCGTTGATTTTAATTCTCTTCAACTCTACAAGTGTTACAAATTGAGACAAAGACAGACAAAGTATTTATTTTTCTTTTATAGAATGGCTTCAAATGTCACTGCATGTCTGAGTCCCACCAGAGGCAATTGCTGCTGGCTTCTGAAAATCCTCAGCAATTCATGGATTACTTTTCTGAGTGAGTTTGTTCTATATTCTTACCCAGGTCTTCATTTCTGTATCACATCTGCTCGGCCATACCTCTAAGGCCCGGTCATGTCCCATTGAAGATACTTTATTCTGAAACATTTTAGTATCAGCTCTTTTTTTAATGACAATTTGAAAGTTTAGGCAATGCCACTTTTGAATGCACGTAAGAGATTTCAGGGAGCTGTGGTATTTTATCAAATCTGACAGTTTTATTGCGTGTCTGAGTTCTGTTTTAGGTTGCTCTGTGTTACACAGTACGTCACCTGTTCCGCCCCAGCTGAGTGACTGCCACACAGGCAGAGTTACAAAGAGCTGAAAGAACCATTACAGAGAGATAACAAGTCAGGGGTGTGACTAATGTCCCACAGTTTCCCCCAGTCCTTTGTCCAGCTGACCTGCACAGACAGCTGGGTTGACTGGAGCTGTCTTAGCACGAGCCTGAAGCGAGGCTTTATGCTCCAGCCTTTGAATTAGCAGTGAGATGAGTGATTGATCTGCCCCCTCTACCACTGCTGCCCTTTGTCCTGTGTTTTGTGTCAGTCAACTTGGGAAGATACTGGGTAATGAAATACCAGCAATTAGTGGGAAGTGTTTAGATTTTGTTCTTTCCTTTTTATCAGTTTGAAATGATATTATCCTTTTGAAGTTTTAACTTGTGCTTGCAGGTACTATATTGTGTTTCTTTGTGCATACCTACTGCAATTAATGCTACCTTACTGAAAAAGGGAAATGAGTCCCTGAATTTCATCATGTTCAGTTCAGAAGAATACTCATTTTTATACCACAGATATTTCATTGTTAATGACAATAGCAAATTGCTTTGTAATTGCTCAAGTTTTACTAAAATACTTTCTTTTTCTCCCCTGAGGGAATTCCGAAATGATTTCCTAGAACTGCTCAGGAGGCGATTTGGTAAATATTTTACTGTTTGTTTGCTTGTTTGTTTGTTTGTCTTTTATTAGTTCAGTGCAAGAAGTTTTGGTTGCTTTCTTCTAGGTCTCTTAGTTACATTTAATAATAATAATAATTCTGTATTTCAGGAACAAAGAGAGTCCACAATAATATTGTGTACAACGAATATATCAGTCATCGAGAACACATCCACATGAATGCCACGCAGTGGGAGACGCTGACTGATTTTACTAAATGGCTGGGGAGAGAAGGTAAATGTAGTTGCTCAGGGCTGGGAAGTTTTATAATTAGTGGGTAATTGCATTGCTGATAAATGATCAGTAAACATTTATGTTAGTTTTCCCATTTCCTTTTTCTTTCTTCTCCTCTCCTCCTGCGTATGTATTAACAGATTTCCAAACATATTTCTGTGCTAACCATTAGGAATTTGCTTGTGAAAAATGTCAGAAGTCAGGGATAAATGCATCAATCATGAAACTTTCCTTTGTTTCATCTGTTGCTCTATATTTACTGGAGGTATTGCTGAATTCTAAATCAACTTCCAACAGTTGCCATTTAAAAATGAAAAACTATGATAGAACATTTCTTATGACTACAGAATCCTTCCATATTTAAGGTGACAAGAAACAAGCAGTCTTTTTAATTTCTGGCATAACAAAAGGGTTAAAGCTTGAGATCTTCACTTTTGTGTTCAGTGGGAGGAAGAGAGATTAAGTGGCACTGTGGTATGACAGAAAGTTTACTTTGGCCCTGATTGCCTGTGTCCTACAGGATACACTCATGAGTGTTTGAAAAGTCACTCTAGCGAGAGTAACAATAACGTAGCATAGTAAAGTTTTCCTGCAGTGTGATGCTATTAGTGTGTATTGTTTATATATGTTAGATTTCTGTTTTCTTCCTTGTTAAAACAATGGGAAGGAAACATTTTCTTCAGTAAGGGAAGTATTATAAAACACTCCATCCACTTTATTACATGCTCTGGCCTATTTCCAAATAGAACTGGCTTGCTGAAGGGCTGAAGCACATACTAAAGATAATTCAAAGTCAGTTTTACCAGGCTGGTAAGGGGTATATTGTCTCTGATAAAGTATCTGCATTGTTATAGCGAAGGTGGACTGTGAAAATGATCTTGATATTTTCTTTGTCCCTTTCTTACTTTTGTGAGTATTAATCTTACTCTATCTTGTGTTGACTGTTTAGGTCTTTGCAAGGTTGACGAGACTCCAAAAGGCTGGTATATTCAATATATTGATAGGGACCCAGAGACTATTCGCAGGCAACAAGAACAAGAGAGAAAGAAGAAACAAGATCTTGATGATGAAGAAAAAACTGCTAAATTCATTGAACAGCAAGTTAGAAGAGGTTTGGAGGGGAAAGAACTGGTGAGGAAAATTATGCAGTATGTCAACCTTCAGCTCAAAAATCCTCTTGGTTAAATTAATGGTGAATTGGATGCTACTGGGATCCTTGCAGTGGTATTTTCTTTGCAGTCACTTAGAAGGTGATGAGGAATCTTCATGCCTCAAGTTACAAGCTGATTACCAGTTCAAGCTGGGGAGCAATGGGCATACTTGGCTGCATTGTTGCTCTTTTCTAAGCCACAGGGAATAGTCTTTCTCCAGATACTTCTCATACCAGCCTTGATTAACTTGTTTCTGTTGAAACTGCAGTTTGTTACATTTCCTTGACTACCCAACTTGCTGGTGATTTTGACAGCTGATGAGCAAAGGTCCTTTATGGAATTGGGTGTCCCTGCTGATGGCAGGGGGATTGGAACTAGATGATCTTTAAGGTCCCTTCCAATCCAAACCATTCTATGATTCTATGAAATAAATAAAATGAGGCTGAGATTTCAGCTCCTTTTGGATTTGATGTGATTTTGGAATCTACTGGAATTGTATCCTATAGCTCTAGTGTCTCATCCTGGCCATTTCAGACTTTTTTTTAGACTGTCTTCTTCCATACTTGAATCATCACATCAATTCACTTATATTCTGAATTTTTGGTTATCTTAGATGATAACTTGCTCTGGAGGAAGACTTGGAGTTACTTTGTACCTGGCTTGCTTTAGTACTAAAGGAGTAATCATTACTGCTCTTCAAGTGATTAGTGACTTAGAAATCACTCTTGAATTTAGGAAGGGAGAGTAAACAATACAGTAACCAGCATGGCATGTCTTTGTTTATAGCATTTCACAACTTTTAGGACTGCAAATAACAAGTATCTTGTAGAGTGGGGAGGCTGAGATAACCAGGGGGAGCTGGAGTAATCACATCTGCATAGTGAAAAGTTCTGTTTCAATAGTGCTGGTGTGGTATTTGGGATCTGTTTATTTGGCCTCATTCCATGACTTCCATACATGTTGTTGCCTGGGACTGGAACCTCCCATTTCATCCTGGATATTGATAGGTATATTTAAATGCTGTTGTAAACAATTATCTTTTTCTTAATTTAAAACTAATTGAAATGTAAATGGTCTGAACCTTCAGAGCTAAAAATTTGTAAAGATTCCAGAATTTCCTTCTTTGGGTTGTCAGTCTGTCCAGAAACCAGTCTAATCATGCTGGTTCAAACAGAAAACTGCTACAATAAGGCCACTTTCCTTTCATGCTGGAATCGAGCAAGTTTAGACAGCATCTCTGTAGAGAGTGTTAATTAGAGAATTTTGCACAGGAGCCTATAATGAGATAATGTTTCCAATTTATAATCTTCATAAAATCAAGCCAGGTTGAATATTACAGTTGCTTGTAATAATCTCTCAGTAGTCTGTAAAACTGAGGTCATTAATGATCACCAAAAAGTGGTATCTTGGCTCAGTGTTCTGTTTGGCTCTTGAAATGTGTTTTGTGTTCTTTTGGCAGGAAAAGCCAGTCTATACTGAACTGAACAGAGAAAATGAAGAAGAAAAAGGTAACCAGATTTTTATATGTGTCATTTTCTAGAACCTACTGAAGCTGATTTTGTGATTAAAACAAGATGAGCATTGAGTCCTGCTCAGTGCTTCATAAAGTGCTTCGAGATCAATCATGAAGAGCAGTGGAATATGGAAATACAGAGTATTCTTTCTTATAATGTTTCCAGTAATTTATTTTAAAAGCAGAACCAAAACATAGATGAGTAAATATTTTCAAATTTATGATCTTTTCCATTTGCAGATTTTTAAAATTGTAACATCCTTCAATGCAGTTATTTTTAAAGATAGAAATAGAGTAATGTCTTTTTATTTTTTAGTTACATTTAATTTAAACAAAGGAGCAAGTACTTCAATAGCAGCATCTTCTAAAACAAGGTGAGAAAAGAATTTAAGGGTAACCCTTACTGTTGCAAAGCGCTTATGTGACAATGATATTTGTATGGACAGGAAGATGTATCTTGTCCTGAAATATTTGGAGTCTAATATCTCATCCTGTCATGTTATTCAGGAGGGGATACTATGAGACTTTGTGGTTACTTCTGTTTTTAAATTGGATGAATGGGTTTATCTTAAATGTGTACTGTGAGGAGCCTTCTTGTATTCACTGTGGTTCATGGCAGGTACCTATAAAGTAATAGGCAGTTCTAGGTTCCTCAGAGAAGATACTGTTATGTGTAAAGGGTGGGTAAGGGATCCAGTCAGAGCACTTGCAGTGAATGCCATCTAGTCCCAGCTGCCTTCTACAAATGGGTATGCATTGTTTATTTTCATTCCTAAGAGGTTTGATTGCCTTGTCTAATTGGAGGTCATACTTTCTCTGATCATCATTGAAGAAGCTGAATCTATGTGATGTAAATCATAGAATCATAGAATTATTAGGGTTGGAAGGGACCTTAAAGATCATCCAGTTCCAACCCCCCTGCCATCAGCAGGGACACCCCCCACTAGACCAGGTTGCTCAAAGCCTCATCCAACCTGGCCTTCAACACTTCCAGGGAGGAGCAGCCACAGCTTCTCTGGGCAACCTGTTCCAATGTCTGACCACCCTCACAGTGAAGAACTTCTTCCTAATATCTCATCTAAACCTTCCCTCTTCCAGTTTAAAGCCATTATCCCTCTTTCTATCATTAACTGCCCTTGTCCGAAGTCCCTCCCCAGCTTTCTTGTAGGCCCCCTTCAGGTATTGGTATATACTGGTATATATATTGGTATATAAGATCTATCGTAAGCCTTCTCTTCTCCAGGCTGAAGACCCCCAAATCTCTCAGCCTGTGCTCATAGCAGAGGTGCTCCAGCCCTCGCATCATCCTCGTGGTCTCCTCTGGATTCCTTCTAACAGGTCCATGTCTTTCTTGTGCTGGGGGCTCCAGAACTGGATGCAGCACTCCAGGTGGGGCCTTATGAGAGCGGAGTAGAGTGAGAGAATCACCTCTCTCAATCTGCTAGCCACACTTCTTTTGATGCAGCCCAGGATATGGTTGGCTGCAAGCGCACATTGCTGGCTCATGTTGAGCTTCTCGTCCAACACCACTCCCAAGTCCTTCTCTTCAGAGCTGGCCTCAATCCCCTCATCACCCAGCCTTTGTGCTTGGGGTTGCCCCGACCCAGGTGCAGGACCTTGCATTTGGCCTTGTTGAACTTCATGAGGTTAGCCCAGGCCCACCTCTCAAGCCTGTCAAGGTCCCTAAATCTTTCTAAAGCTCACACATTTAATTGTCATCATATAACCACGAGCAAAAGGGATCAATAATCCGAACAGTACTGACTTAGAGCAGTCTGTGAAACTGTTTGATGAGCAGTACATATTTTCATGTGAGGCAATACTGTAATTAAATGTATTGCAGGTAAAACGAAAGCTTTCCTCTCATCACCAGCTTAGCTCTTAGATAAGATATCTGATAGGAGATATGCCAGGCAGAAAATGAGACAATAAAGGAGTTCTTTGCAGTAATAGAGACAGATTTCAGGCTTTGAGGAAAACTTGTAAATTATCCCTGAGCATTGAGTTGTGCTTAAGATGAGTCTGAAACTTAATTCAGACACTCACTTGAATAGTTTCAGTGAAGAGTACTTAAGGTACTTGCTAAAATTTGTAAAATCATATATCCAGTAATCTAATTTTTTCATAGCTTATGAGAGATATTGGTCTGTGAACTTTGTAATGGTGGTGTAGAAGCAAAATTAGGATACCCACTTCTTGGTAAAGTGACCGGGCGGTGGTTTGTATGTCACTGGTGATACAGGAATCACTTCAGAGTCCTATGGAGACCTTATTAATGTTTATAAATATCTAAAGGGTGGGTGTCAAGGGGGTGGGGATGGGGACAGACTCTTTTCAGTGGTGGCCAGTGACAGGACAAGGGACCACAGGCACAAGCTGGAACACAGGAGGTTCCACTTAAACATGATGAAAAACTTTGCTGTGAGGGTGATGGAGCCCTGGGACAGGCTGCCCAGAGAGGTTGTGGAGTTTCCATCTCTGGGGATGTTCAGAACCCACCTGGACGTTTTCCTGTGCAACCTGCTCTAGGTGAACCTGCTTTGGCAGGGGGGTTGGACTAGGTGATCTCCAGAGGTCTCTCCCAACCTCTACCATTCTGTGATTCTGTGATATGTGGAAAGTGCTTCCCTGTGTCAGTGTAAAGGTGTGTTCTGCTGCTGTTGGCTGTTACTGAGGATCAGTTGAGTTCAACATGATGTCCAGTACCCCAGCACAGCGTGCACTAGGACTTCCTGGCTTCCCACCTTCTCTGCTTGCATCACAGGCTACAGGAACCTGGCACTTGTATTTCCTGAGCAGGGTGCAGAAATAGGACCAGGAGATCATAGGTAGTGGATGGTGGAGTTTGAGGAGTATCTGAACACAGATAGGTACAGAGTTGGAGTTGGAGCCTTGCTGAGAAGAAGAGTGACAGGGGAGGTGGGCTTTGCCTTGAGTGTCTGTGTGGCTGACATGAAACTGGGAGTCACCACTGCCACTGCAGGCACGGCTTCTGATGCTGAGTGCCATTGGGAAGACTGGGAGCCCTGGGTTTACTGTTTTCCCCTCAAGAACTTACATCCTCAAATCCCTGCTTAACTCACTCAGTGGACAAGTGAGATTAGAATTACTTCTAATTAAGGAATGAGCAGAGGCTGTTGCCAAGGTCACTGGCTCCTGTGCACAGTACTGCAGGTGTACCAGTGTACAGTCCTGTCCACACACTGACCAGCCTCCACTGTACACAGTTAGGCTTTCCACAGCACTCTACTCCCAAGGGAAATTCCTTCAAAACCTGTTTGCTCTGATGGTTAGCACCTTGTCTGTAATTTCTCAGGTAAATATAGTCATGGATAGTTTATACCAGTTGCTCTCATGTTGGTATGGATGTTTAGCACAAATATTTTTCTCCCTAGTTTTTTGCTTTCTCAATGTATTTGTAGAGAACAGTTTTAGCCTCTCAGCCTTCACTGCGCTGCACAAGCAGGCCTACACAGTGCTGGCCTCATCTCCCCATTCCCCTGATACACTGAATAGCCCTTCCTTGTCACAGAATCACAGAATGGTGGGGGTTGGAGGTGACCTCTGGAGATCATCCAGTCCACCCCCCCATGCCAAAGCAGGTTCCCTACAGCAGGTTGCACAGGAAAACGTCCAGGCAGGTTTTGAACATGTCCAGAGATGGAGACTCCACACCCTCTCTTGTCCTTGTTACCGTTTCAGCTAATCTTGAACAGGGGAGCTGATGGAATTTGTGCATGCTGCATATGAAATGTCACCATGGCTTATACAAGGCACTAATGCCTGTTTGCCTTGATGCCTCCTAGGATTGCATTTGACTCTTTCATGGCTGGTCCACACTGGTGGCTGTCATCTGTGATTATAGCCTGACACTTTCTGCTTTTCTTGTTCTTAAACAACTCCCAGTAGATAGAAGATAATCAGAATAAACTTTTCCAGAGTATGTGAGCCTGCATAATGTGCTGTTGAATTTTGTCTTCTTTAAAACATGGTTTTCAAGATAAACCAGTCCATTCTGGTGTCCACTTCTTTCTTTTGTCTTCCATATCGATGACACACCCAAACAACGTTGGAGGTCTCTCACTCTTTGTCTCAGAGCTCTTAATAAATATGTTAAATAAGATTTGTTACAGTATTGACACCCAGGAATCCCTTAGTAGCCTTGCAGGTAGATGTGTTTTCCTTCTTAAATGTAGGCACTGCAGTTGTTATGTTTTAATTGTATGTTACCCTTTATGAGATTTTATTTTAAATACTTGCTATTGGATTTGTGATTTAATGTGCTTTTGCTTCTAGAACTCTGCTGTGAAGATTATCCAGTCTTCCTCTGCAATACAATTATTTTCCTTTCAATTTTGTTTCTACTGCCATTTCCGTGTCTTCATCCCTGGTACATATCTTCCCTTTGCTGGTATATTGAACATCCCCACCACAGGCAGAACGTGTGATTTGTTGTAAGGCCTAACTAATATTACCTCATTGTCCACCTCACTGCAGCCTTCATCTTTCTGGATGAGAGAACACCTAAATTTTTTTTACCACAGTCAATTTTTTTTTTTTATAAAAATGGCTTAAATCAAGCTACCTTTAGGCAGTTCTCACTTTACTTCAATGTTTCTTCATCCCTGAGATGTAACTTTTTGTGCCAATTGCTCTTTTCTTTCATAACTTATAGGCTGTGTGCCTGTTTTTAATATGATTGTGAAGATGATGTTTATTTGCTGGGTGTGGAGCCCTTTTCTGCAGATTACCATGTATTTTCTCCCTCTGACAGATAGGTTAAGTATCTCTGTCTGGAAGGAATTGTAGACATCTACCGTGTTTGAGAATTGCTCTGTCCAGGTGGCTTCTCTAAAGCCACAAGTTTGTCCTTGAATTTGAAAACCTTATCTCCATTGAACTCAAGTCCCCACTCAAGTCTTTGCTTTTGCGCTGATAAACTGTTAGGTTGTTTTCATTGTGCTGGACTGCTAGCAGCAAACGTCAGTGGACATGGATTTTACACCCCAAGGAGATCAGTTCTAGCTGCTAAATGCAGTCCTAGAGAAGGAGGCTTGCAGGGTCTGGAAGGTGACTTGCACAACTGAAATTAAATAGATCAGCAGGCCTTTTTGCACAACCAGCTCTTCAAATGCGTCTTGATAGAGGAGACAATTTAAGGTCTGCTGTGAAAACACCATCTTACTCTTCCAGCAGTGTCCTTGGACCGAGTGCACTGAAGATGGTGGAAGGGGCAGTTAAAAGAAAAGAATCAGCTCATAGTTCTGGTCAGTCCAAAGAGAAAAAGAAGAAATCTGCACTGGATGAGATTATGGAGGTAATAATCATGCAGGATCTGTGTCTTTCTAACCCCATGCCTGTGGCTATGTCCACTTTACCAGGGCATCCCTTTGAAGTGACCTCAGACCTTCAGTTCATGTGGAATTCAGACTATTATCAGGCAAAATTATTTCAGTTCCCCATTAAAACTGGTTTCTACTGCTCATGTGTGCCTGTTCCCCAGACATCTGAGAAGTTGGAAGTAAAGGAGTACAGCTTTTGGAAGAGAAGAAAATATCTAGTAACACTTGACAAAACCAAATATAAATCTTCATCATTAAATATGGATTCCTGGATCTCATCAGATTGATTTTTATGCAGCAAGCACACACTGACTTACCCTTTTTTAGTTTTGGGTTTTGTTTTTTTTTATTCCCCACTTGATGTGGGCCTGGAGAATTGGTTCAGCTTTTCAGAGGCATGGGAAAACTGCAGTGAAAGGAGGAAGTAAATGGTGATTATTTGTTGTTGTTCTGTAGCTTGAAGAGGAGAAGAAAAGAGCATCTCGAAGAGACTACTGGTTGCAGCCTGTAAGTGTCTTAAAAATTATTATATTAAATACAAACAATTCTGCAACTCTAAAGCAGCTGTTGATTTGTGTAAAGATCCAAAAGCAGATTCCAAACCTAAATTCACTCTTATTTTACATGCTGCCAAATGTGAAATATTACAGTATCTGAGAGAAATTACTCTTCTGGTTGAGTATGATCTGCAGTCTGGAGCATCATATGCCTGATCTCAGATGGGGTGGAATTTTCTGACTAAAGAGTTGGTACTGTGAGTCTCTACAGATCGTGTTTAAATCATGATGCTACTTACAGCCGCCTTCTTTCTGCAGTAGTAGTTGGCAGGCACAGAGATGTAGAAATCAACATCAGCCTTTTGAGCTGAGAGACCTCATCTCAGCTTCTTCTTATTGACTGGATGTCCTGGTTATCAACGTTCTTCTCATAATATGTCTGAACTGAAACACTGAAAGTAAAATACAACTATTCTAATTACTAAAAAGAAAATTAACTCTATCCTAGCAAAACCAGGACACTGAACTTCTAGATCAAGAAGTTCTGCCTTTGTCCCATTGTGGGCTGTCACATTATATCCTGAATTCAAGTGTAACTGTACTTGTAAAACAACAAAAAAAGTCTTCAGAGATACTCCTTTGAGGCAATAATTTGAGGATAAAGACAAGATCCTGCATGCAGAATCTTTACAGTTGTTTCCTACGCTGTGCTGTGCAGTCTGTGGTTGGAGTCAGTGACCTGAATGGGCAATTAGTTTAGACTGTGTGGTTGTTTGTATATTTTGGTATTTTATTTTATTTTTTCTCCTTTCAAATCTTCCAGGAAATCATTGTAAAAATTATAACAAAAAAGCTTGGAGAGAAGTATCACAAGAAGAAGGCAGTTGTTAAGGTAAAGCATGCAAATGGAAGCATGTGGCATTGGTTAGGCTTTTCTGGTATCAGATGACTTGTGAAATTTTGTTTCATTGTGCAAGTTGTTCAGCCTTTAGTCAACACTGACGGGGGCTGAAATGTCACCTTAACTTTACTGGGACTTGTTCTGGGTAGGGAGTGAATTTCTGAATTGGTTTAATGGCATTTACTCAGTGATTCTTTCTTAAGCACGGTTTTATCTTGCATAATTTGTCCCTATTAACACATCCATCGTGGAGAATAGTCACTTTGTCCATGTGATATGACCAAGAGCAGTGCAATTGCATTTTAATCTCAACCTAATCAGTTTTGCACTGATATTTAAGCAGCAGGCTGCCTTTGAACAAGATCCCATTTGGCTACAAAACCTTCAAGCTGTAAGCTCCTCTGTTGTTCAGGAGTGCTTTCTTTTAGCCACTGCCAGTGAAATCATAGAATCATAGAATACATTGGGTTGGAAAAGACCTCCAAGATCATCAAGTCCAACCCCTGATCCAACTCCAATTACTATATCATGGCACTAAGGGCCACGTCCAATCTCTTTTTAAAAACCTCCAGGGATGGTGAATCCACCACCTCTCTGGGCAGGCCGTTCCAGTGCCTGATTACCCTTTCTGTAAAGAATTTCTTCCTAACATCTAACCTAAACCTCCCCTGGCAGAGCTTGAGCCCATGCCCCCTTGTCCTATTGTTGGTTGCCTGGGAGAAGAGACCAACCCCCACCTGGCTATAACCTCCCTTCAGGTAGTTGAAGAGAGTGATGAGGTCACCTCTAAGCCTTCTCTTCTCCAGACTAAACAACCCCAGCTCCCTCAGCCTCTCCTCATAGGACTTGTGCTCAAGTCCCTTCACCAGCCTCGTTGCTCTTCTCTGGACCCGCTCCAGCACCTCAATGTCCTTCCTGAACTGAGGGGCCCAGAGCTGAACACAGTACTCAAGGTGTGGCCTCACTAATGCAGAGTACAGGGGAAATGATGTGGTACTAGGTAGTCCAGAGCTCAACAGTCTCTGGCAAGAGCACCAAAGATGACACCCAGGTGTGTTTTGAATGATTGACAAAAGTGTACAGAGCTCAGAATCACAGCTGGTTTTGGTAGGCATCTGGGAGGGTTTATGAGTCCCAGTGGCAGTCCCCCATTTTGCTCTGAATATGAGAGGTAGAACGTGGATTATGCTGGGTGCAAAGATGATCACTGACATTTTACCTCGTGGAGATGTATCCCAGTTGTCACTGTGTGGCTTCCAGCCAGCTTAGCCTCCCCAGGGGGAAAAATGCCTCTAATTTTCTTTTTATCTTTGAGAGGACAGCTAAGATAGCTGACCCAAAGGTTGACAAAACCTTTAGACAAGTCCACCAAAATTAGTGGTCAATTACACCAGTCATCAGTGTTCAAGGGGAGCCCTTTTAATCTAGCCTTAACTTCAGAGTGGGGCCAGTCATCAGTTTGTGAAAGCTGGATGCCTTTAGGACAGCTCAGAATTCCTTCCTGCTTTTCAAAATGTACAAGTGCAGTTTTTTTAATTTTGTAATGTAAATTTAGATAATTTTTTTGTTTTTCTGATTGCATTTCACAACAGGAAGTGATTGACAAATACACAGCAGTTGTGAAGATGATTGATTCTGGAGACAAACTGAAGCTTGATCAGACGCATCTGGAGACTGTAATACCTGCACCAGGTATAGCTGTTTTGTTCATTTTTCATCTTAGCTGTCACTGCAAATCTTACATTTCAGTTGTTTTAAACTATAATTCATCCACTTGAAAGTACTATAACAACAGCCATCTTGCTCTTGGAACAGCATTTCATAAGGTACTCTGATCATTTCCCAAATATCCTCTTGTTACTCTCTAGGGAATTATTACATTGCTTCTGCTTTGAGCCTTCACAATCCCTCCTCAGAAGAATTAGATTATTTTCTGAGAAGGCAAAAGTGCTTTAGGAATGAGTTCATCTGTCGAGATGAAAGTATGTCTCTTCAGCTGCCAGCTGAAGCATCTCTGGGAGCCCTACACAGCCCTTGGTCATATTTATCCTGTATTTTTCCTCCAAAGTCGTGCCTCAAATAGCTGTGGGCACTTGGCAAAGCTTACCTCATCTCCTGTTTGGTTCACTGGTGCTGCTCTGTCTGGTACACACTGATGTTTGTGTATAGCATTTCACCAGTATTTCAGGGAACGGTCAGGGTAGCAGTTATCATAGAATCATCGGATAGTTTGGTTGGAAAAGACCATTATGAT